TCCCTTTCTGTAAAGTGTGTATCATCTGGTCAGTTTTTATTCTGCTTTGTAGATTGGTCTTGTTGGTTTTGCTTTTGTATCTCATATTTCTTTTTTATCCCTTGTATATCCCCTAATTGGTTTCCATGTTTATCCTTGCCTTGATAAGTCATCACATTAAGATTAGATGCCTCTTCTCTCAAATTTGTAGATAGTCCAGCTGGGGTATCCAATAAATCCAAAGGCAATTCATCTGGTACAGTCTCTGTAATTCGATATTTTACCTTTATTTCCGGCTCCTTCTGCTTATCCTGTATTATACCTGGAGATGTTAAGTTCATTTTCAACCTATTTTGATAAAATTCTTCCGCTCTTTCAACAGTATTTAGCTGATATCTTTCTCCTTGGTATCTAAATATAATACCCACTGGGGCGTCCCACCTGTAGGAGATATTTCTCTTTTTTAACTCATTCACCAGAAAACCAAATTTCTTCCTTTCCATCAATATCTTAGGTGGGAGTTCCTTGTAAATCCAAATCTTTCTTCCATACAATTGCAAATTAGAATTGAAGGAGTTTTGAACGATATTATTCCTAATCTCCTTATCTGTAAAATAAATCACCACATCTCTAGGCCATTGCCTTTGCTTAGCAATCCAGGAGTTGATTCGATAAACTCTGTCAATCCTACAAAACACTTCGTCAGGTTGAACCTTTAGAATCCCAGCTAGAAATTCAGAAGATATTTTCCTTAAATCATCTCTATTATTTTCCTGCAAACCTCTTAATCTTATCGCATATTCTGTAAAATTATATTGTACCATTAACATCTCTTTTTCAATCTTCTGTTGCAGATTTTCTGCATTACCATACTTTTGATCAGCATCCATTTTAGGTTTTTCTTCTAAGCTATTATCCTGAGTGTTTGCCAAATCATTTTCAATTTTTTGAATTCTATTGTCCAATTTATCTTGAATTTCTTCCATTTTAGACTCTAGTACAATAGTATTTGTGTCCAACTGTTTCATAAATCCTGTAAAACCATTAACCACTTTTGAGAGTTTTTTCTCCAAAAAATCAAACTTAGATTTCACCAATTCTTTAATTTCCTGCTTAAATTTTTCAAATTGCTGATTCACAATCTCCTCCCTTCTTTCAATCTCCTCTATAAAAAATTCTATTATATTAAAGTCAGGTTTCTGAGACTGAAGAATTAAGACTTGTCCTTTAAGTTGTTGGTGGGGGGATCCCCCCCCCTTCTTGTTTATCTGACTTTATGAGTCTCAGTGCCATGTTTCCGCCCAGGCAGGCTTTGTTAAAAAAAAAGCAAGAAAAAAAAAAAAGGGACTTCTTTCCAATCAACAACAATATCAGGTCTCCAAGGGAAAAAAAAAGAGAAAAAGACACAGGAGCAAAGTTTTGTCTACAAATGTAGCCAGTGGTATTTATTCCGCTACATTGTAGTAATAGAAAACGGAAAGACTTCCCTTTCAGCCTCTCCTCCAGCCAACGCCATTTTAAAAGGCTTCTTTTTTTTTTCCTCTTTCTTTTCCTCCTCTCTCTTAAGTAATTTTTTTTAAAAAAAAAATCAGTAAAATACTTGCAGTTCAATATTACAGGTCCAGCTCACATTTTCTTTGAGTAGTCTGTTAAATTTGCAGGCTTGCTTTTGACGCCTGGCTCTGCATCAGCAGAGGTCTCCCAAAGCCCGGAGCGGCGGCTGGGGATACGGGGCATCTCATCCGCTCCGTCCCAAAAGTAAAAAAAAAACTTTTGGGACTCCGCAGAGAGTTCTACCCACCCCTGCCGGCTCTATCTCCGTTTCCTCATGGAAACGGAGTTTTTTCGAGCCGCCATTCCGTTGTGAAGGCGGCTCTAACAGGCGATGGAAGCTGACGATCCCAAAGGAACGTCTGGCAGCGGCAAACAGCAACCCGGAAGTCCCCCCACATGGGAACTATTTCTTGTTTTGAGAATCACCTCATGTCCTGAGAACCATCTCTTGTTTGCTTTCATTTATTTCTCACATTTTTGAACTAAGAGGAGGTTTTATGGAGTTTTCACAAAATTATGTTTTTTCTTGTATTCTTAAAAATGTAACATAAGCCAGGCAAAATGTTTGGCTTTATAACCTGCTTTGAATGGGCCTCAAGCATTCCATCTTTTTTTCCACACAAATGCATGGCACAAGGGATGTGTGTCAGTCTATATGTATATATATACTTGTATGTATAAGTATGTGTGTGTGTGTCCATTGCAGGATGAAACCTCTTCTGCATATTTCCAACCAATACAGTCACTTATGCAGTGATTACATTTCCATACCTTAGGGCAGGGGTATCAAACACAAGGCCCGGGGACTGGATGCTTAGAGGTGGCCGATGGGACTGCCATGGAAACAGCAAAGGACTGGCCAGTGGTGCCTCTGCAAGCGAAAATGGAGCGGGCGGCCCTCCCAAGCTCCATTTTTGCTGGCAGAGAGTTGCAGTAGGCCATCACAGCCAAAAATGGAGCTCAAGAGCCTGTTTTTGCTGGCAGAGCATTCGGGCCGCCATAGGTGCCCCTGACACGTGTGATGTCAAGTTGGCCATGCCCAGCCTGGCCACACACACACACGGTGATCAAACACAACCTTGATGCAGCCCTCAATGAAATCAAGTTTGACACCCCTGCCTTAGGGTAGTTCACTTAAATAGTGTGTAAACTAGAAAACATTGTACAAACTATTTCTCTCTTCAGTTTATCAGGACCACACATTGATCCTCCTAGCTGTTTATTTTATATTTTACACATTGGGAAGAGATCATTGTTATTATATTCAGAAGTGGGGGTATATTATTGTGGGAACCTCCTTTCCTTACTGTGAGAAAAAGTAGTATTTTGTCACTTTAGCTCACAACATGTCAAGATCATCCTTGCTGACACTCCATGTTTTCTCAGTTTCTCACAATATTCTGAGGCAGAATCTTATTGACATTCCATCTAGTTGCTCTCTCAGCTATATTGACATCTCTTTCTCAGCTTGGCACTTAACTGGTTCCTGTCATTTGCATTCAACCTTGCTCTTGTTATTCACATCTTGTTTGTATGCTTCTTGTGATGTTCCCAGCCTCATTTTAGCCATTTCACACATTTCCACTCATTCTTTCATTCACACATTATAATAGCTGCTTGTAACTTAATGCCACTGTTAACATTAAGGGCTTGTTCAATAACACAGTTTGATATTGGAAACATTTTGCCAAATCACAGAATGTTCCAGCTTTTCAATAAATCCTAATTAGAATAAGACAGTTTGAGTCATTCAAAGGCTGGTGATAGTGGACAGCGTTTAGGAGCTGGACGGAATGACAATTCAATTTTTTTGAGTAATATTGTCCCATAATTCTGTGACTACATGATGGCAGTTGTGGAATTCCTAAAACATTAATGGAAAAGTATTTAATTCTTCCATCTGGAAATTTCTAAATGGGTCTTTAAGATCAGACAGTTGTAAATTATTACATGTCGATTAGGATCTTGCATTCTTACTCCATTTTTAACCAGCCCAAATGTAAGGTCTTGCTCAACTAGTGGACAGAATTTCTATTGTGCAAAAGGCTACATCAGGCACATTGATGGACATGGACCAAATAGGCCTGATCCTGAGAGAGATTTAAGGAGGAAAAAGAGTGCATTAAAACTATGCAAATTTCCATAACTGGCCAAGTTTTTGGTCTTCACCACTCAAAGTCTCATGAAGAGAAGTTGGAAAACTTTATATAGTTCATTGCTCCACTGAACTCCCTCTAGATCAGGGTGGGCAATTAATTTTACCAAGACAGCTACATAAGGGTGCCAGATGACTGAAGGTGTGCAGGGTGATTGCACAGAGCCGACCCAACTTGTATTCTTCTTCTGCCCCCTGTGGTGTGCTTATTTACATTTGATTTCTAATTTCCATTTGACCTCATTTGGGACAGACAGGACATCCAAAGAGCTGGATGTGGCCCAGAGTGGACAAAATGTCCAAGTTTGATCTAGATGATTGGGGCAGAGATGGCTCTTAAGTTATGGGAGTAGAGTCACTGCAAGATAAGCATTACATATTGGTTAACCTTTATGACGTATACATAGTGTCATCATAGAGGCTGAAGATTTCAATTGTGATTTGTCTAAGTTTCACCCATTGAATACAATTTGTTCCTCAAGTGCTTACTACTCCAGGCAAATCATCTGTGCAAGAATTATACCCACTTTGTGTACTTGTAGAGTGATGGATTGGATTCAAAATCAATTTAAATATAGACTATGGCTACTTTTTAAAAAAAAATCTCTTCCAAAAATTACTCGAATTGGCAGTTTGACAAGGACCCTGGCCTTTAAATTTCTTCCCTCCAGATTTCCATCTGGGTATTTATTTATTTTATTTTATTTAGGATTCCATATTTGGCTTCCTGTTAGTGCAGTAGTGCCATTTCCCACTTTTTTTTTCTCTATTGATTTTCTTTGATTCTTACAAAATTACATATTTTTATTGGGGGAGACATATCCTCAGTATTATTATGACATATTTACTATGGAGATGCAAACCAAACATTAACACCTTGAAAGGTTCTAACCTGATACTTTTTCTTTTTACTGCACTTCACCTGAAAGAAATAAACCAAAAAATAAATAAATAAACTTCAGCAAAGTTACCATGGTGTCAAATTGGTGCTTGCCCTATTTCATCTCCATATAGTACAGGAGCATCTGCTAGCAGATATTCAACTGTGCTCTTGTTTCAGCATTATTGCTTTTTCTCCTTTATTTAGGGCTCTTAATTTCTCTGGCACTTTAGCAACATTTCCTGTGATTTTGAAGACGTGATAGGCTAGCTTTATGTTGACCTGTTGCAAGACAAAGCCAGTTTCTTATTGGAGAAAAGTGCCTCATCTCCTAAGCAACCCATATTTAGAAAGCATAAATGCAGAGAAAGACCAAGACAAACCAATAAAGGGTTTTGGAACTGAAACGGCAGCAGTGGCTAAGACCAGAGTAGCAACTGAATATTCTATTATTTATTCCATATAATATTTTCTGAAGAATATCCTATCAGTATGCCCTAGATTAGGAAAAGATATTATCACTTAGAGAGATGGTAGAAATGGCCATGTAATTTTGACAATGCTTTCTCCTCTCTCTCTCCTTCCTGCCCTTTCTTATTGCTAAGCAATAATATCTCTATTGCACTGTCACTGCGGTGTCATTATGTTTGTCTGCAAAATAAGATCACCTGAGAAGAGCAAAAGAGGTGTGTGGTGTGTGTGTGTTGGTTTGTTGTTTTTTTTTAAGTCAAATTAATTGAATTTAGGAGGCTAAAAAAGATCACTGCATCATTGTAGGGCAAAAGGGGAATAAGACTACAAAATGAAGGGCTTCTTATCTTCACGCGGTCCCAAGCGATTATCACATTGGGAGAGAAGTGAAGTTTCTCATCATATTGTGATTGGGGAGGCTAAAAGACAAGGCTTATTAGTCCAAAAGCCAAATAATGAAATGTGCTAGGCTAGATGAAAGCCTTTTTGACATTTAGCATTCTCTACCATTCTGGTAGGTGGCGAGCAGAAGCTAAGAGATGGGTCTATCTTAGTCTACCTAACCAGCTATGGTTCTATTAGAAAATGGGGAAGAACAAGCTCACCAATTTATTAAATTTGCTCTTCTCTTTTCTTTCTTTCTTTCTTTCTTCCTTCCTTCCTTCCTTCCTTCCTTCCTTCCTTCCTTCCTTCCTTCCTTCCTTCCTTCCTTCCTTCCTTTCCTTTCCTTTCTTTCTTCTTTCTCTCTCTCTCTCTTTCCTTTTCTTTCTTTCTTTTCTTTCTCTCTCTCTTTCTTTCTTTTCCTTCCTTCCTTCCTTTCTTCCTTCCTTCCTCCTGAGTAATTTGCATATTTCCCATCAAGTAGGTGATCTTTTTGATGAGCCACGGTGGCACAGTGGTTAGAGTGCAGGCTACTTCTGCTGACTGTTGGCTGCCTGCAATCTGGCAGTTCAAATCTCACCAGGCTCAAGGTTGGCTCAGCCTTCCATCCTTCCGAGGTGGGTAAAATGAGGATCCAGAGGGCAATTCGCTGACTCTGTAAACTGCTTAGAGAGGGCTGTAAAGCACTGCAAAGTGGTATATAAATCTAAGTGCTATTGCTATTGCTATTTTTAGTTCTGTCCTTAGCAGAAGAATGGAGGTCATATTGCTTTCCTAATTTTCAGGCTGAAAACAATATAGTTGCAACCAGTACTGTATATAGATTTAAGGATATTGTGTTATGCTCTTTTCCAGTGTTGACTGGCCAGAAGTTCCAATTCAGAAGAGTTTTATGCATATATATTTAATGCATATGGACATCATCTCAAACTCCATCAGAAGATATGAGGGAGGTGAGAATTGAGATTATGGCCAAAGCCATTCATGTATGTCATAGATATACTGTAAATTAGACATATAACACAGGTTTGATAAAGGACCATCTTGGATGGTTTTAAAAGGAAATTAGAGATTTTTCTGGAGGATATGGTTATTGATGGCTACTAGCAAGAATGACTATGAGTCTTCTAAGACTAGAGGTAATAGCAGTTGAATAGCAATTATGCAAAAAAAAATAATCAATTGCCATTGTATAATTATTCTGAACTTTTGAAGCTCTGTGGATGTCTAGCCACAAAGAGAATAGAAAATTGGACTAGAGAACCATTCAGTTTGATTCAACATGATTATTTGTATAATCCCGCTATGTCTTCACTGACTTCAAATGGGTTATATAAATGAGATGAGCCTCCCTCTATTAAATTCTGATTAGGATGCATTTCTCAAGAATGTGTATTAAGAGCAATAATTTTCCTTATAAATAATATATTATTAGGATCAAACTATATATTTACAAGTATCAGCAATTAGCATTATTCAACATGTTACCTCCATGCCTTTAATGAAAAATTAATAAATTAGAAATGAAATTAGACATATCAACCTTATGTTTAGGCTTGCCCCTTGCTTGACTCTGTTTAATTAATGGAATGATGCAGGACAATGAACAAAGAGGCAACATTTCATTAATCAACTTTTAATGGAGAAGAGATGAAGGGATGCTACTCTTAAGGGTTCATAGACTGGTAGTTGGGCCTCAGGTAACCACTTCTTTTTCCCAGTGAATCTTGGAATGGGATGGGAATCTTGGAATAAAAACAAACTTTCAAATTAACTCCAGTTACAATGGAATCTGTAGCTACTACTTGAGAAACTGAAGACAAATCATAAATTATAAGGAACCCACCAAGTAATTTTTTGAATTTAAAAAGAACACCATTAAAAGCTGTAAGCCAGTAAAAAATTTGGAGTCCTGATGTTATGGGATCTTATTTAGGATAAAATTTCTCAACTGTCAGAATAACACAGAATTTGTTCCTAGCTTTTCATCCAATCTTTCTGAGGTGATTTATCTCATTTTAACATTCTGAACATACCTTCTTATTATGCAGAGAGATTGTAAAACAAGCAGTGTTTGGATCAAAGCAGAAATGCATATTAAAAAGATTCTGATCTACTACTTTCAATGGATAGAAGATATTTTTTGAATTGTGATATCATCATATTATGATTTTATTTATTTAGAGATAGGTAGGCTAACCAAAGCCTACCTTGGATTAATTGAGGAATTACTTAAACTCCCCTGCTAGAAAAAATGTTAGAATAATTTGCAGTTGGATAAACCCAAAGCATTCAAAGTAGAGTCCCATTTATGTCCATCAACCTCTCTGATATCCAAACATTTTGTTCGGCCTGCTACTTTCCATTGTTTCCACAGGAACAGCAAAGTAGACTTAACTAGTGAGAAGAGGAGACTTTTCTACCAATCAATACCATTACAGGACGGCTAGGATGGCAACACTATGTCTCCTGCACTGCATATTGAACATTAATACAATTGAACATGTCCAGAAATATTTCACAAGAGTCCTCCACTCCTCTGCTCGCCACAAAATACCTTATGCCACCAGACTTGAAATTTTGGGCTTAGAAAATTTAGAACAACGCCGCCTTCGGTCTGACCTAAGCATAGCTCATAAAATCATCTGCTGCAATGTCCTACCTGTCAATGGCTACTTCAGCTTCAACCACAACAATACACGAGCACACAATAGATACAAACTTAAAGGGAACCACTCCAAACTCTATTGAAGAAAATATGACTTCAGCAACAGAGTGGTCAATGCCTGGAATGCACTACCAGACTCTGTGGTCTCATCCCAAAACCCCCAAAATGTTAACCTTAGACTGGCTACTATTGTCCTCACCCCATTCCTAAGAGGTCTGTAAGGGGCGTGCATAAGAGCACCAGTGTACCTACCATTCCTGTCCTCATGTTCCCTTTAATTGTATTCATTTTATGTATTCAATTCATGCTTATACTTATAAATATTATCTAATACATACTCGACAAAATGAATGAATGAATGAATGAATGAATGAATGAATGAATGAATGAATGAATGAATGGTGATGTCTACAGAAAGAGAGACAAGTAGAGACATTACCTGAAAAAGGAGAATGCTTGCTAGCTGTCATGCTTACTAAGCCTCATTGTCTTTGCTGAGCTTTATAGAGCCAGAATGCAACCTGAAAGGCAGAAATATGAACAAAGGGCCATCAGAAATAATTATTTATATAGTAATTGAATATAATTATTTTAAAAAGCTATCTTATAGTATTCCAACCTTTTTCTGGAGACCACTCTTTTAATGTTTTGGATTCACCAGGTTCAGGGGATGTGGCCACCAGAGCAGAAGGGACAAAAAGTTCAAATCCTTCTAAGAACTTAGGCTAATTTGAAGGGTCTTTGGAGATTTTCTAAAACTGAAATGGATGCCTTAAACTCGGCAAAGTGTGACATTTCAAGTTCCCTCACCTGCTTTATAGGATATTGTTTCTATTGTTTCAGCAGTATTTTGCATGTTATGGGGGGAAAGATAACAATAGCACTTAGATTTATATGCCACTTTACAGCCCTCTCTAAGCGGTTTACAAAGTTAGCATATTGCCCCCAACAATTGTCCTCATTTTACCGACCTCAGAAAGATGGAAGGCTGAGTCAACCTTGAGCTGGTGAGACTCAAAACTTCTAGCAGTCGGCAGTCAGCAGAATTAGCCTGCAATACTGCATTCTAAATCCTGTGCCACCACGGCCCTAGATAGTAAGGAAATGGTAAGAGTGTGTGGCGGAATGCCAATCAGTTGGATGGCTTGAGTAGCACAAATGTCCCTTAGTGCTGCTTGCCAATAAATGCTAAACAAGATGCAGAATATAAGAAGGGTGGCATCTGTAGCATTCATCTCTCCTAATCTGCACCGGAGGAGCCATGAAAGACAGGGATCTGGGCCAAATGTCTCTGTCAGATTCCAGGTATTTTCAGTAGAAGAGAATTTCAGGTGACACTTGGGATACATAGATATTTGTCATTACAGCTGTCATAGTGTGAATATAGAAAAGAAATCAAATTGTTTGGGATGCAGAGAGTAGGGTGATATGCTGTCCATCATTGATAATGGAAGCACCATCTTCAACCCAGTCATGCTTCTGAATATTTTTCACATAACAATGATGCATTTATTGTGCTTTTTGCCCTGCTTGATTGATGGGACCCATTTCCTGCATGTTCAACTCCTTTTCAGTCAAGATGAATGGCAAACTGAGCAGAAACTCTGTTGCAAACATTACTACATTATCAAGACCTAATAACACTGGCCTAGACCTAGTGGCATCTGAATCTCTCTGATTCTCTTCTGGGGTTATTTGACCATCCTTGTGTATCTATGCATTACCATCTATTTTTTTTCCTCTCTCTCTTGCAAGAACCACCATTGGCCTGAAGTAGACATCATTGCAAACTGCCGTATTTCCTCATTATCAGCTCACGCTGCAATTTGAACCCCATCACTATTCGAAGGGCTATAGATTTATTGCTGTAGCTTTAAGCTGTCTTTTCACTTAGGAGGAACAATTATACTGCAGGGCTACTTGGGAAATTAATCCTAGTTTGCACTGAGATGGCAAACCTATATCTCAGTGATAGAGGGGCCATCAAAGAAGCTTTATATTTTATATTAAGAACACAAGATCAAACAGAAAGTTTAACCGGAGTAAATTGGAAGTTGAGGGGTATAACAGTGTTATAGTTGCCCCAAGGCAGAATGAGACAACGGAAATTAAATTCAGATTTCCCCTTGGTAAAGGGGAAAGGTTTGAACAGGGCCATCCCCAGTTTTAGGCCATAATGAAAAGTTGATTTGCTGATAAGGAAGAGAGATTGAAATTTAGTGACTGGACAGATCTGCTCATGAAATCAGAGTCATCCTATCTTTTAGACCAGCGGTGCCCAACTCTGCAGCTTGGCGGCCTGGCTGTGTTGGGGAGAGGGGAATCAGCCAGGCCATGTAAGCAGCAGGCCCGAGCACATGCAAGCACAAACTTGTGCAAGCAGTGGGCTGGCATGCATGTGCATGCATGAGCAGCTCAACGTGTGGACCAGTCCACTACTTGCATGGCCCGGTTCCAAATAGGCCATGGCCTGATAATGGGCCGTGGCCTGGGAGTTGGGGACCTTGATTTAGACTACCTCCAGTAACTCCAATATTAGCATTCTTGTGAGAATGGAGAGATCCTTTACATTTTCTCTGTAAGGCTCAGCTTCAGTACAGTACATCACACCAGTGCCCTGGGATATCATGTAACAGGATTTTGTGAGCTGCATTCATGAGTATAGCAGCTAGATTATTTCATTTGTTCTTCTTTTATTTCTTCTGTATTTCTGTTAGTTATTTCCTTATACTTCTACATTCAACAGAAGCACAAGTTAATCATGTATTTGCAAGTTAATCATACTTGCAAATAGTTCAATAGTATTTGTGGGACCACCTCTTCCTCTGCCCATCCTGCTAGGTAAGATAGGGTAAGAATGCTCAAGGTTCCCTCCATTCAACATTGCCACCTAATGGGACCTCAAAGGTATGCCTTCTTGATAGCTGCCCCAGCCTTTTTGTAACAGCCTCCCACTTAAGATCACAGGAACCCCTACACTTTTTGGCTTCTGAAGGTCATGAAAATCCTGCTTTTCCCCCAAGCGTTGCTGAGCTGTAAATATGTTTATCTGGTGCCTCAGGCAAAAGAGTTCTTACCCTTATTTTTATGAATTTATGGTTCTGACTTATCTAAAATGATTATATGAGATAAGTGGCCATATAAGTCCTGAAAATAAATAAATTCCATTCATCCTTACCATTTTTTTTAAAAAAATCACCCCTTTATTTTTTCAATTTACCTGAAATTGAACATTGGTGATCCTGCTAGAGAAACTACTATTACTACATATTTAATTATTCTCATCATATTTTAAAACACTTCATGTTAAATCTGCAATTGAAAACTATTCAACAATTTCTATGAAATTTGGTGTACTTTCATTCTCATAAATCTCTACTTTATCTGCAAAATTTATTCCAGCTTGCTAGAAAAGGAAAAATACAGTTATTCTGATTTTTAACCATACAAGACTATGGAAAGAGAATCCAGAAATCTACTCACTGGGTAGATGGTTTGAAATTGCCTTGAAGGGCAAAAACTGCCATGAATCAGGTGTAATTGAAAACAAGTCCTGCTGATGCCAGGATTAATTTAATCCATGTTGCCAAAAGTAGAAATCCCATTTTCAGCTTCACTGTTGTTGTATCATCATGTCAAAGGACATTCAGTGCTGAGCCAAGGTTGCTCTGTGAGAGGCCGCTCTCAATATTATCTAAGTTCAACATTTGAGATGCAGTGATGCACTGGTGAATAACAGTTTCCGGTCTAAGCTAAGAACACATGCCTAAGGCTATAGTTCTAACCTAAAAATGTTCCAATAAAATAAACTTATCTTTCCCATTCTGTTAACGTTGGAGGCACCATTTAAGGTGTTTCTGGCTTGAAAGGTTTAGCTGGTGACATCACCATGGCCCAGGGAACATGTGTGGGAGGGCTCCTTTCATGTCCCTGTCAAGGAGCTGGAGTGAATGACAGGAGCTCACCCTCCACCTAGCAGTGCTTGAGTCTTGAACGCGGGCTTGCTAACCTCCAACCCAGCATCTTCACCACATGAGCCACCATACTCCTCATGGGACTTACCTTAAGTGTACAAAAGTTTCATATATTAATTTACAACCTTTCTATGCTGTTCATTTCCTAAAGGTTTGAGCTTACATCCATTGATCACATGGGGTTAAAATATAACCATCAACATATTCATCACACCAAATATCTATCTCATATGCCTTCAACTAGGGTAGAAAAATCCTCAACATCCTCAACCACATTTCCAAAGGCCTATGTTTTCTTGGCTTTTTAGAAGTCCAATAATGAGAGAGAGGGAGAGTAGACTGGTTTCAGAGGCATGCTGTTTCCTACAAGGGTATCCTTGATGACAAGGTCCAAATACGGTGACTGTCAGATGTAAATGCCTTATTCTCCAATGTGTAAATAATGTATATATGGAACATCAGAGGTTAACTTATTCTTTGGACTTTAATGTATTCATAACTTACCACTCCCATTCCTAGCTCCACCCCTTGTATATATAAGGAGCCACCCTCACCATTCTTGCTGCTTCTACCTTGAATATTCAGTGAATATAGAATGCCTATCATAATTAAAAAGAAATATATTTAAAGCTCTAACTCCTATTATCTTTATTGAGTCTGATCCTGAAAATATTGCAACAAGCTGGTAGCAGAGGATGGTTAATTGACTCAATAAGTAATTAAAAATGTCCAAGAAAGATAGGCCCAACACCAGGGCCTACAACAAAGAAATAGAAACTGATCAA